CAAGGTGATGCATTGGCTGCAGCGATAACGGTGGCTGCGGCTGCGGCGGCGAAAGAGGAGGAGGAATTGTGGGGGATGACACTCAAGGCCGGAGATGTTTTGGTCGATGAGCTAATGACGTGGAGTACCGTTTGGTTGCCTTCATGTTGGGACGTTGAGTTCGTTGAAAAAAACTATGGAGTTTTGTTCAATGATGTTGTGTGGGACGATGATCTTTGGAATTTGAATACTTCCACTCAGTTGCTTCCTTTAGATAATAATAACATAAGAAAAGATTGAGGTCGATCGAGAGATCCTTTGTTTTGGGATTCAATCGGTCGTTTGGTTTTTTTTTGGAATTTTCGGTTTTAGTATGAACCATAATGTAAGCAAAATTTGTTTTGATTTCGTAGGGTTCCATATAAAGTTTAGATCATGATTTTTTTTTCGGACAAGAAAAATATCCCTAATTTGAGGACTTCGGTTTTTTTTGGGGTTTTCCGATTATGAAATAAAATTTAATAAACCGAGCAAGGTTTGTTTATGGTTTGTGGAACGCTTTTTTTGTTTACCTATTCGATTGATCTCTATTAATATATAGAGGGGCGACTAGGTGAAAAAATCTTGTAAGTAAAAAACTCCTATGTATGTTAAATTTCAATAGATTTTATATGCCATATTGGAAATTTTTACATATTTATATTATTTTTTTAATATAAATCTACAAATACATAAGTTACTAATTTAAATCTAAATAATATATGTTACTAATTTAAATCTAAAAATATTTAAATAATATGATATTTTAATATTTTAACATGCATCATTTATCGATACTATATGTGATTGATACAATTATATTTTTGTTTATATAGTTTAGTTGTATTCATATTGCTCTAACTGAATTGTATATATACGTACAACTTTACAAATCAAACATTAATAATTGAATTTCGAATATCATTATTTTTACTTTTTTACTTTTTTATTATTTCTTTGAGAATATCAATAATCTCAAATATATTCGATTTACAATAAAAATATTTACATTAAATCATGCAGATTAAATTTTGTAACATAAAATATATTTATCTATGGAAAATTTACTATTTGATCTTTGTTATTTTTAATTTTTTTTATATTATAAAAATGATAATTTTTTTATATTTAAATATTATAATCTCGTATTTGATGCTCGCAAAAATCTAGTTGGTTATAAACACAAAAGTTCAAAATTAACTTATCTTTACCCGGGATGAATCTTGGTTCGGCTGGTTCTTAGAGACTGTACCAAACCGTTATAAACTCGAATCCATCTTTGTTCCGTTTAGATTTTCAATTGCCTACCCTATAGGGCAGGCAAACAATTAACAATAGCGGTCATAATATAATGTTAGATGTGTTTCGTGTGCCTTCGTAAGAATCCAACTCCACGATTACGATGTGTCAATAATTGATGAGATTACGACACATCTCATGGTTTATTGAATTTCCGATTATTAAATTTAATTTACATTTTGAATTTGATTATATGCATGTGTGATCCTTTTGACTCTTTTGCTGTGTAATTTATAATTTTCAAATAAAGTTTGGTCAAAATTTAAAAGCACTATCGTGTTGTAGAGGATAACATAATCCAAGGCTAATCGAATTATTCGACGTCATGTATTACATGGTACGGTCGGATCTTTAACACTTCAAATGAAAATTGTATGAATTGAAAATTATCTGCTCTAAAAAAATTTGGGCATAAATTTACAAAGACATAAATTGATCGGTGAAGACGTTAGAATCCAGATAGAAAATCAGGGCATCGCGTCTCGCCACCCAAAATATTTGAGACCCAACATCATGTATTAAAAGGACATAACTCGAACATTGCCATTCATGCACGAAATACATGGTCCGAGTTCTCACATTAAGAATTCCGGCTACGTATAAAGTATCTTTCGTCTCGCATCCAACTCCGGTTTTTCCTTGATTCAAATATTTGAAATCTCAGTAGAAAGGATAAAAGCATTTTAACGTTAGGATAAAACTAGGTGGTCCACACTTAAGGAGTGATTAAAGCACAAAGGAACATATTTCAAAAGAGCATTCGGCGCTCGATCTGCCGTATGAGATGCTGCAAACGGTATAGAAGGTCAAATGTAGCATGGAATAGCCGAATGGTCGTCCAAATGGCGCGAAAAAACAAAAAAAGTAGGTTGAAAGCACTCGATTAAATAATATCGGGTTAAATCTAAAAATCTAGACCCAAACCGCTTAAAGAATGTGGATCCCCGAATCCAAACCCGAACATGTAATTGAGTACAAATACGCATATTTGTTTATAAAGGAGGACCCAAAATTTTGGTTAAGACCTAATACATAGAGCCCATTTTTCTTGAGTTCAAAATCCCATTCTGTTGTGTTTTAAGATTTTTTTATGGTTGTTTAGAACCGTTTTCTCCGGACCATTCTTGGAATTCTCTTCTGCCCTGACCATCTCACGGCATAAACTTCTCATACTCTCTCTCACCACCAAAATTCTTCTCTAAAGTCTTAGATACTTTGTGGACCATCTTAGTTCGGTCCAGAGTC